ATGGCGAGGATCCATTGTCTAGCACTAGTACTACAAGCGTCCTAAAAGGGGCAGGTATGACCCTATAGCGAGCAAACATCTTGCAACCTTCACTCCGCTAGACGAGACGACCCTCCAACAATTTTTAGAGTTCGCTCAAGACGAACTGAGCCCTAAATGGAGTAAACAGTTCATATAGCAAGCAGCGACTCATAGCATAAGGGTATAGGGCTCATTCTGAGGCTCTTGTGTCATGTCGTGGTGCTTAAGCTTCAGGGTTGTTCAGAGGGTTCGGAGTTCAGAGTGGAGGAAGTCCAGGTGCAGGTTCTAGGCTGACTTCTGAACCCCTCCTAAAAGTTAAACGTTTAGCCTCCTTACCATAGCCCATATAGAAACTCCCAAAATTAAAGCCCTAAGAGCCAACCAGAAGAACGCCATGAGTTGTCAGGCTCCATTTTGCCTTAGGGCACCTGGGTCGCTTTTGCTAATGTAAGAACCTGATTAAGAAACCTTGGGCCTTTATTAGGTTTCCCTATATGAATCCTACTATTTTGGGGTTATAGGCCCTGGGTTTCTTAATCAGGTTCCTACATTAGGGTCTGGCTTAAAGAGCCAAAGCTCTAGGAGGCCCGAATCCCCAAAAGCCTAAACCCTACCCTCAGGGTCCATGTGCCCAAATAGTATATACTTTGGCCTTAAAGTACTCCCTTTGTAGATCCATTGGGCCCAAAATTATACATGATTTGGGCACATGGGCCCGGTATTAAAGCAAATTCTGATCACAGTGATACAAAATGGTAACAATAATTGCGAAAAAATCAAAACCACGATGACCATAATGGTCAACCACATCATAGGAGTCTTACGTTATTACAGTTCCCACACTCCCAGATTTTACCTCTAGTCTCCAGTGTTCGCCCTTTTCGGGTTTACCAAATTTCAGGATCCTAACCATATTTAACAGGTTAACACCAAAAAACGCCCGAAAGGCCCATGTGCCCCTTTAGTATATGCTTTGGCCCTACAGTACCTATACAGTATATGGGAGTCCGAAAATCGGGGACCCTAACATAGTAGCCCAAATGGTAGGATCCTTATTTGCAAGGACGCCAAATAAGGTACCCCTAATCTTCGGAAACTCCCATATACTATTTGGGTACATGGACCCTTATAGGGAAGTAACTACAATGGAGAGTATAGGTAAAGCACTAACCTCCGAGACGACACCCGAGTCAAAAACCGTGTACAAGAACCCGACGAGGAACCCCAAAAAGAGCCCTTGCGGTAGGGTCTGTTATTCCTCTAAACCCTAAACCCTCAACTCCATCACCTCTCTCCGTAATATTTGGGCCTTTTAATAGTTACAATAGGGTTTGGGGGCCTATCATACTATACTTATAAAAGGAACCACCAAAATAGTATTTCTTGTTTGTTTTCGGTCCCTATGGTACTGGGAGGGGCAAAGGACTTAGTAACTAGGTTATAAGTAAGGTTTTGGGGGTTTACTTGGAGGTGCAGGGGACTTAGTAAGTAGGTTATAAAGTAGGGTTGTAATTGGGGTAACTCCATTTAGGGTACTTACAAGTCTACCTATAACCTATTTACTAAGTCCCCTGCCCCTCCAAGTATAGTAGGTTCTGTTCTCAATAAACGGCCGCTCTGAGCCCCCAGGCAGCGCAGACTTTCGCCGAGTTAGGGCTGAACGCCAAGCCGTAGAGCAGCTGATCCTTCAGGACTACTTGGAGGATCAGGGGACTTAGTAAGTATGGTTATAGGTACCCTATTTGGGGCTATAAGTAATTATGCTATGGGGTTTAGGGCCCATAGAGCAGCTGATCCTTCAGGATTAAGGACCTTGGGTTAGTAGGGAATGGAGGAGTGGGGTACAATTATAACTACGATTACTACCATTCTTCCATTCCCTACTAACCAATGGTAAGATTAAGGACCTTTGGGGTTAGTTTGGGCTGGGCTATTTTGAGGCCCAGGGTTTGGGTTTAGTTTAGGGTTTAGGGTTTATAGGGCCTTAGAGTTTAGAGTTTGGGGTGTTATGGGTTTAGGGTGTTAGGGTTTAGGGATACGGGTTCAGGGCTTAGGGTTTAGTAGGGCCATGGGGTTTAGGGGCCATAGAGCAGTTGATCCTTCAGAGTTTAGGCTTTAGGGTTCAGGGCGTGGGGTTCAGTAGTGATGTAGGGCTCAGGGCTTGTAATTAAGGGCTCTAGTGCAGTCGATTCTTCACGGCTTCGCGAAGCCTGAAAAACTTCGTACAAGGGTTACAGAAGGGCTCCTGTTCGGGGTCCTACAAAGGTTCCTGCAAAGATTCATTGAACTAAAGGGTTCCTTTGAAGTTCCATGTAACTGTTAAGGATTTCGGGTTTGGGCCTTGTGTTGTGCGTTGAGGTGATCAGTGCCAAAGACCCTCCTAGAAAGGCCTGCAGCCACTGCCCGGACCCTCAAAACTTACCTTAGGGTTTGGCGTTTGGTGTGTAGGGTTTAAATGGGTTTAAGTCACCCCTAAACCCTAATCCTAAAGCCCTAAACCCCTATACCTTCCCTCGAAGCTCGAGTTCTGGGCAGTGTGCGAGGTTTAGGTCTTCACGGTACTCATGACGTGCACACACATCAGAACTTCGGGCTTCAGAAAGCAGAGGGAGTGCTGCAGCCTGGCTGCGTAGTTGATGATTGAAATAATACAGGGGCCGAAATAAACACCAATACTGTATTTCGGGGAGGGGGGGGTGGGGGGTCCTTATAAGTATAGTATAACGAGCCCCGAAACCCTGAGTATTCCAATTATTGAGGCCCCTGTCAGGTAGACTGGTCGCAAGAGTGAGGGGCCACTCACAACTTAAACTGACTTTAGGGTTTAGGGTTTGGGGTGCTTGCGAGCCTGGTTTCTCCAGATTTGTTTCATTATACTATATTTCTCGTGAGAGCATCGCGAGACCGGAGCAATCGAATCATGAAGGGAAGACGGTGTGAACACGCAAATCCCGCTGCGGTCCTTGCCGGCATACATCTCCCGGACGCTCTCGTGTGTAGAGATTCGCCAGAGCTGCAGGGGCAGGAAACCATGAAGCCAAAAGCCCTGAAAAGTCTGCACCCGCCTTGCCGGATTGTGTAGGAACTTTGCTTCATGATCACATACATTGGCTTAGTCAATGTATAGGGGCCTTAATAATTATGAATGGGCTTTGGGGCCCAGTATACCACAATTATGATAAAGAGCCCCCAAAATAGTATAGGTAACTATTGAGGACCCTATGTTACTTTGACAAAACGGGGACATCACGAACTCATGGGCATCGCCGAAGGACTTACCTTTGTCTAGTAGTAGTAGTAGTAGTAGTAGTAGCAGCTATAATTGTACCCCATTCTTCCATTCCCTACTAACCCAAAAGTTAGAGGACCCGTCGCACCTTGATGTAGCCGTCATAGGAAGCTGTGCCGATGAGGTCTTGGTCCTCTCGCGCAGGCTAGTCACTGAAGCCTTTACCCAAAGGCTCCATGTACCCATATAGTAGGTACTTAGGCCTGAAAGTACCTATTTAAAGACCCCTTTAAGGCCTAAGTGCCTACTATATGGGAACATGGAGCCTTAGGGTTACAGAAGCGAAGCCACATCAAGACTGATTCTATGAGCTACCACGGACCGACACCTGTCGGCATTACGAACACACAAACGCACCCGTGCAAGCGCCCGGTGCGCGTGGCCGGATCTCTCTCTCTCTCTCTCTTTCTGTGTGTGTGTGTGTGCGCGCATGTATAAGTGTATGTACTCTTGACTTCTGCCTCACCGTGCTTGAGAAGTTGTCCGCCATGGCGGGCGGCTCCCTTAGGTTGCTTACCCCTGCCCTAGGGGTCCAAGCACCTGATAATCATATACTGCCCCACATACTAAGCTACATAACGACTATCCTAAACCTTAGTACCTAATTATTGGGTCCTTTGGACCCTTAGGGCCAAGGGCCCGATTAAGACGGCACACAGAAGGGTAGATGTAGCCGCTGGCACGCAGACTCATACCCCAAATACCCACTACTACGGGCCGTTTCAGGCTCTGTTAAAGGGCCCCTGAGGGGGTCCTGGTTGATACCCAGAAAAGGCTCAAGTCCTGAAGACTAAGGGTTTTTCCGCCAGACACTGCTGCAGATCCACCCCCTGGTGCTTAGCAGGGAATGGGGGAATGGATGATGGAGACTATTATTGGGGATTCTATAAGGACTACTATGCCTAGGGATCTAAGGACTCACATATTAAGTCTTTTGGGCCCAAAGACCATACTATGTCAGGCTTTTGGGCTATTCCGATCCCTAGGGTATAGGGATCCATTCCCCCGTTCCCTACTACCCAGGGGCCCCAAAGTAGTTCCTTTTTAGGTAGTATATTAAAGTCCCTAACCAAAAAAGAGGACACAACCAAAAAGGAACTACTTTGGGGCCCCTGGGTAAGCACCACGGAGTCCATTTTCCATACTTGGCTCCGGCTTCTCGGCATGCTCCCCGGCACACAGCCGAGAACTCCTGGCTGGATGAACTTCGAGGCATCTTTGGGGTTTAGGGGTTTTGGGGTTCAGGGTTTAGAGTGCATTCTACAATGGAATCATACCCATATTTGGGGTTTGGGGTTTAGGGGTTTTGGGGTTCAGGGTTTAGAGTGCGGTCTACAGTTTACGCATAGAATCTTTGGGGTTTAGGGGTTTTGGGGTTCAGGGTTTAGAGTGCAGTCTACAGTTTACGCATAGAATCTTTGGGGTTTAGGATTTTGGGGGTTCAGGGTTGAGAGTGCAGTCTACAATTTAAGCATAGGGGAAACAGCCGCCAGGACGATGTGGTGCAAACGACCAGATCACGTGTTCCCTTTCTTCGTTTGGCAACATCCTTTTGGCATGCTGTCGCACGGTTTGAGGCTGGAGTTCCGGGCTTGTTTGGGCTTGCGCAGGAAAGTCCAGGGCAACATCTCCGTTGCTTGCCATGGAAGAGAACGGCCACCCAAAGCTCAGAAAACAAACAACCATCGGCCTAGCTGCCATCAGGTTCCAACTCGCCCGCAAACGACAAACCTCGGGAGCACCAAAGGCGTAGGGTTTAGGGGTTTTGGGTTTAGGGGGGCATGCATTGAGACAGTTCTACTGCAAGACAAAACCGGCCAACAGTTGCGAGGTTTGGCATTCCTATGCAAATTCAGGTAGAACAATTTGCAATAGTCAGGGTCCCAAAATACGTCGCTTCAACCCGAAACCCTAAACGAAGTAGCTGAAATGCCATGTACAGCATGGGCAACAAACGAACCAGTGGTCAAAATGCAACACACTGTTTGTCACACTGAGGTAAGAAAAGTCGCGGTGTTCATCATGCTGACTGAACGAAGCATGAACCTCAAAAGTCGCGGACCTTCACATGGACTATTTTTAGGGATTATAGACGGGCTGCTATAGGGGTCCATTCCCCATTCCCTACTAAGCACCAATAGAATGCTCAGGCTCGAACTTCGCTCTTGTTTGTCTACGCTAAGCCCGAAACCCCGCTAATTCGCCTAAATCATAAAACCTTAAACCCCAAAACCCTAAAACCCTAGACCAATAGACCCTAAACCCCGTAAACCCTAAATCCTAAACCCCTACACCAAACGTCTTGAACCACTGGGCTAGCGGCACTGATCTTCTGTGAAGGCCAGCTCATCCTCCAAGAGAGGCCTGCTGAAGGAAAGATGGGACTATAGGCTTTGCCTGCCCAAAGCCAACAGGGCCATAAATGGCTTTTACTAGTGGATATACGGAGTATGTTAGAGGGTAGTTGGGGGGGCTAGGGAGGGTTCAAACTTTGTTATGGCTTCAGAGTTTATAGAGCATTAGGGCAGTAGTGTTTTAGGGTTTAGGGCTTAAGGCTTCGGTTTTGGGTTTCAGCATTAAATTACTCTTTTGTGTTCATATCAAATCCTTATTGGAACACATGAAGCTACTGCGGAAAACTAAACACGAGGAGCTCGAAGACTGTCAGAAGTGCTGGCGAACCTGACTATCCCTGAGCATTCAAGCTGCGTCATGTGCCTCTAAGCAGTGAGCCAGGCAGATGTAGAAACGTGGGACCCAACTGGATCATGAGATAAGCTTTATAATCAAAGGAATCCTGCAGATCAGAAATTAGCTTAGGTGACGTACCAGAACGGAGAAATATGGTATGCAGAGTGACAGGACTCAGAAAATGTACCTGGATAGCAAGTACATGCATGGCCAATGATGAACAACATGTAAGTTGAACAAGTGAGGTTTGTCAGTGGAACATGTCGAACGCAAGCATGCACAAGCATTTACCTGAACTCTGAACCCCGAACCCTGGACCATGAACCCTAAGCCCTGAACCCGAAACCCTAATCCGTTGCAACCTCCAGTACAAACAGCCAACTCAGCCTCTCGTTTCGCAGAAGCTGCATTGCAGCTGCATGTAGCTTGACCTGCGCCATTGTGGCAGATACGTTGCCAAGACTTTCCCAAATCAAAAATGTGATTCCTAGTATAGAAACTATATCGGTACATAGAGTCCTTTGGAATATACCATGATTCCCATGGTTTAAGGTCCTTAGGTAATGCAGGATGTATATCATCAACCGTAGTATCGGAACCCTTCTTAATTCTACTACATTGGTACGTGGGGTCCTTTGGGAATGGTTCTATGAGCACAATCGCCTCGAAGTCGGTGTGCTTTCTGCCGGCCACATCTTTGCGAGACAGCTCCCGCTCCTTGGCGTCCATACCCTAGGAATCTAAGGACTCATATGACTCATACAAGTTTCCTTTAAAGGGATCTATAAGGGATCCTTACTATAGGGTTTAGGGCTCTAAGGACTCAAATTTTAAGGTTTTTGCCCAAAGCCGATACTATATAAGGCTTTTCGGCTGTTTTGATCCCTAGGGATACAGGGGTCATTATGCATGCACACATGGTATTATGTATGTGTGTATGCATCTATGGATGTATATGTATGCATGTGTCTATGTATGTAGGTACGTAGGTATCTATGTATTTATGTATGTATGGCAGACATACATACAGATGTCTGTATGTATGTATGCATGTATGTATGTATGTATATATGTATGTATACATGCTTGGATGTGTTGTATGCAGGCATGTATGTGTTAACACATACATACACACACACATATGCATATATATATATATATATATATATATATATATGTATACACACACACGCACACATACATACATACATACATACATACCTACATACATAAATACATACACACACACATATATTATATTATATTATATTATATTATATTATATTATATTATATTATATTATATTATATCATGTTATATTATATTATATTATATTATATGATATATATATATATATATATATATACGCATATACAAGGGCATACATGCATACATACATACATACATACATACATTCACTCATGCATACATAAAAACAAATAGATTGATACATATATATATATATATACATATGTATGTATGTATGTGTGTATATATATATACATACATGTGAGGCACGCATATACCCGGATGCATCGGTTTATTCAATTACGGTAGACTTGGAAGTAAACTGAAGACGGCCATCGGTCAGCGTCCTTCCCTTGCCTCCTCTGCTGCCGTTGTCGTCGTGATTGTGCGGCTGACATCACATGTCCATGCTCTGGCCAACATCATCACCATCATAGCCGCCTTTATGCCGTCAGTGTCAGCAGGATCATCGCACGTGGTCCCTGCTAGCTTCAACTTTGTCATAGAAGGAGCTTCTCCTTGCCGCGGAAACACACTCTTGATTGGGTGATTAGCTCTGCGAACCTTTGCCACTGCTACAAACTCACCAGGGCGTGTGTGGACCGGAGCCGCTCGAGGCTTACCCATGCGGTGGAAATGACAACCCCGTGGCTCAGTATCTCCAAGAAACATTACAAGATGATTACGAGCAGATAAGACCCCACGGGTCCAAAGGACCCAATAATTATGTAATTACTCGGCTTTGGGATTGTAGTTATGTAGGTTAGGATTTTGGAGAGTATATGATTATTGGGTACTTGGACCCTTGGGGTAACAATTTAGGTCCTGGACCATTGTGGTTTAAGAAAAGAAACACAACAAGGCGGCCCTGAAAGCAGCGCATGGTCACGACCGAGTCGCATGGGCTGCTTCAACTGTGAAATAAGTATTCCCTGCAGATCTGAGAGCATGCTACAGAAGCGTCTTCAAGTATACGCATGATTTATTCATTACGAAGAAAACCTAGTTATCCCATGAAGCTTTACTCCACTAACAGCGAGCAAGACTTGCTGACGAGCCACACTTGCAAGATTCTTTTGCAAGGCTTCCTGGATCCTTGCCACGGAGACTTTCGAAAGTGGTTCAACTTGGTTGAGGGAGCACTGAAGGAGGAGTTCGACGCAAGAACGAGCTCTAACAGTCGAACTATCAAGCAAACCCAAGCCAAAACCCTATAAACCCTAAACCCCAAAGGAGCCAGCTGTCCAAATTTGTGCAACCCCGGTGGCCTTTGTCGGACGACCTCTGCCGCGGCTAGCCTCAGCCTGCAAATTCTACATATGACTACTTATAACCTCAACAAGTTACTGATGTCCTTACTTACTACCCCCGACCCTCTAAAGCAGAGTCACTACCCATAGGCTCTGTTGTAGTTCCTGTTTAGGATTACCTTGTAGTAAATTAAATATAAACCACGAAAAGGTACTACAATGGAGCCTGTAGGTAGGGTTTATGAACTGTGAGAGGGGTGGGCAAACCCTAAACCCTAAACCCCAGGAGCTACAACGAGCCTGTAGGTAGAGCCTCTCTTCATCAGTTCCAGTGCACGTTGACTATAAGAGTTACCTGGCTTCAGATACTCCGCTAATGGTCCATGTAACCAAATAGTATATACTTTGGTCCCAAAGTACCTATATAGGGACTAGTGTAAGGCCAAAGTATATGTACATGGACCATTAGAATGCTTGCAGCTGCAACAATCTTGGGCAAACAGCCGTTGACACTGGGAAGTCTGTCAGGTTCCTTGCTAACGGAACCTAAAAATATACAAACCATGAACCCTACATCCTCAACCCTAATTGAACCCTGACAATGCTAGGGTTTAATTAGGGGTGAGGATGTAGGGTTCACAATCAAAACCATGCACCCTGAACCGGACGGCACCTTTTTCACAATACTCGGTGCGGACGCCTCTCCCCTCGGGCCCGGCAGCCATCGAAGTCGGTCAACGCTGAGCCCCCGCATGCTTCATGACTCAGCCCTGGGTAATGAGTGCATAGGGTCAGGCTTATCCAAAACAACTATTAGCTAAATAGTGCAAGTTCGATCCACTCATCAAGAGATTTGCAGCCAAAAACGAATAGAAGCCCCAGCTATCCGCCCCATATCGAGATGTCTGTGTATGTGTGTGTGTGTGTGTGTATGTGTGTGTATGTGTGTGTGGGTGTGTGTGTGTGTGTGTGTGTGTGTTTATCTATCCAACTCAGGACCAATGAACAATCGAACCATCCAGCAAAACCATGCCCTATCCGAGTGAATGGCTAGATGCAGCCGCGGATGCGTATGATCAGTCTGTAGGCGCAAATAACTGCAGCTTTTTTGCATACATACAGCCGTACATGTATGCATGCATGTATGCATGCATGCATTTGCTGCGTAAAATCATGCACAAAGACGTACCAGCATGCATAGCTACCTACCTACATACATACCTAGATACATACAGTATACCTTCTTACTTGCTTACTTACCTCCATGTTTACGAACTTACGTACATACGCATTAATTAAAACTTACATACAAGCATACATGTTTCCATACTTGCTCACATACGTCAGCGCAGATGTACGTAGTTGAATACTTGGGCACGTACACGAAGCAATTCCTGCGCACACGGACAAACACATATCACCGCATATCCATTCGTACACGTCTGGCGTGCATGTTTGTGGAAACAACAGCACCTATACACGTATGTGCGTATATGTATGCACATATATGCATACATACCAGGAATGCATTACGGAAAGGTGGGTCATGATGGATCTTTGGGATTCATACATGGATAGCTACATCAGATACAGCTCCTCGAATATCTATACCTTATACCGAACCCTAAACCCTGAATCCTAAACTCACACCCTATACCCTACTACAGTAGAAGCCAGAAAGTTGGAATATCATTATCGTAACTCCTTTAAGGTATATTGTAGGAGATCCTACCATTAATCCATATTCCAACTTTCGGGAGATCCCTGTACAGTAAAGACACGGCTTCGAAGGGAGGACGCTCCGGGGCCCCCAGGAGGAAGGCCAAGTCTTTCTTGCACAGCCAGGTGCTTACAAGCGCTGCAGGGGCTTTAGGGTTTCGGGGGGTCAGGGTTTAGGGTTTAGGGACTTTAGGGGTTTTGGGTTTAGGGTTAGGGTTTTAGGGTTTGGGGTTTAGGGTTTGGGGTTTAGGGTTTAGGGCTTAGGGTTTACAATCGCTGCTGGGGCTTTAGGGTTAGGGACCTTTCCCTAGGGCTCTAAGGACTCACATAGGGTTCCTTTAAAGGGATCTATAAGTGGTCCTTTAAGGGGATCTACAGGGTTCAGGATTAAGGACCGTTGGGTTGGGGGTTTAGGGTTTACCTTAACCCGGGAGAACCTACCTTTTCAGGGACTATATAAGGAAAACAGAATAAGGAACCCTAAAAAGGTAGGTTATTCAGGGTTAAGGTAGGGTTTCGGGGTTTGGGGGAATTAGGATTTCAGGCTCGGGTTTAGTAGTGTCATACAATATTTCGAGTTTGAGGGTCTGCGATTCATGAAACGCCTACGAGAGCGGGTTTCACGTGTCCAAGATTTGTGGAGGTTGCAACACAAGTCCAGGTTCAAGCATTTGGGGCTTTAAAGTCTTTGGTTCGTGAGGAAGTTGGTCCAGGATTCAAAGATGTATGATGCAAGGTTTAGGGGTATCATAAGGGGCCTACGGCGATCGCACATCCATTCCTTAAGGCTCCCTCTCATAGCTACAGTAGAGCAGCTCGCCACAACCCTAGTTTGATGTCAAAGCGCCTATACAACCGGTAAGTTGTTCAAACCTTGTCGAATTCTCAGGGCCCCTTTGGTAAGTCGATCTGGAGCGCCGGGTCTGTTGGACGGCAGCGTCTTCGAGTTGAGTTGATTTTTGTCTGCCGGCATCCGCCGGCGCCGGCTCTGAACCCTAAGCCCTATAAACCCTAGCTTAGGTTGCAAAAGACTGAGAATCCCACCCACCGTTAATTGGCATGGCCCCACATGAAGTAGTGGACTTTGTGGACACTGCCGGCTAGGATCTGCGGATTAGGGTTCATGTTTTGAGGTTTTCGGCTTTAGGATCAGGCTTGGGGATCTTGGCTTGAGGCTGCTGACCACACCGATATCAGCATGTCCTTCGTACAGCTCAGCACTGCCCCAGTGTCTTCAGTAATTCATACGCGTGTCTTACTCCCGTCACAATGTCCGGACTAGAAGAAACCACCTGCATCCACCAACAAATGCTCCTTCGACATGTAAGACATGTAATTTTGACCCTATCCTTGCCCAAGGCTTGAAAGCAAGTCACAAACCCCCAAACCCCAAAACCCCTACCTAAACCCCAAAGCCCTTAACCCTAAACCGACGTTCTGGACACACTTAGGACTTTCCCGGTTGTGGGTTCACCGTTTAGGGCTTTGGGTTAAGGGCTTTGTGAGCCTTCTAGTAACAGAGGACAAGGGACACTCAGAATAGCAATAATAATGAGCATAACCATAATAGTCATATAATACGAGTACCAGCTTTTTAATCATAGTAATAGTAATAATCAGAAGAATAGTAATTAAAGGAACAAGGATAAGGGAGGCGCAACTCTGTGCCCTACGACGGCTGCTCAGAAGCGTCCGAGGTTGCGTCTCGTCATGTCAGAGACCGCTCCCAAGCCATCCTTGGATGTACTTACAGTTTAATAATTCGGGTTTAGGGTTTAGTAATTCTGGTTTAGGGCTTAGGGTTTAGTATTTAGGATTTAGCAATTAAGGTTTAGGGTGTAGCAAATAGGATTATTCACTCTAAACCCTAAACTCTAATTAGGGTTTAAGTTTAGGGCCTTAGGGGTCGGGGCCTAAGGCTTCGTATGGTGGGATTTAGGGTTTCAGGGGCTGGGTTTCAGGGTTTACATATGGTTTAGGGCTTCATTTACAGCAGGGTTTAGGAATAGCGATGTCTCAACACTTGGCTCGCCTGTTTTGCTTGGTTTGTGTGTGGTAAGGGGGGGAATGCTCAGGTACAAAATTCTCTTTGACTTGTGGCTTGGGGATGTGGTTTCAGAAGTCCTCTGTGACTACACTGACTTCAAGCCATGGGCTGCAGCAAGACCGAGACCCCTGTAAACAATCGGAAATTCCCGCAAGGACTTGTGAAGCTGTCTATGACCTAGGAGCTGCAAACAGCACTGTGTCACTTGTATGTTCAAACACTCAGCAAAAAGAACAACTACTTCCCATGCCACGCAATTTCTGAACGGTCGGGTGCTGCATACTATAGCGGCATTTGTAATAATGAGGCTTCGAGGCATGTTGTAGTACATGTCGCGATTAGTGATCGGGAACCCCAAATGGTTCGTGTAGGCCACTGCTTGGGCTTCTATATTACATGTGCGACTGTGTGTATGCATGCATGTATGTAATGTATGTTTGTGCACGCATATGTAATTATGTAAGTAACACATACCCATAGGCTCCATGGTAGTTCCCTGTTGGGGTTCATATTTAGAATCCTATAAGGTAATCCCCAAAAGGAACTACTATGGAGCCTCTGGGTAAATCCTAACCAACAATAAACACTTCAGCGCCTCTGCAATCTGAGGTGCCGGAACCCTTCCAAGAAATGTCAGGGTGATCGAGTACACCATCACCTCATGTGGGAGTTTCCGAAAATTAGGGGTACCTTATTTTGGGGTCCTTATAATAAGGATCCTATTATTTAGGGTACTATGTTTGGGTTCCGTTTTTTTTCGGAAACTCTCATGTTGCATCTCTTGTTAAAGGGTTTCGTGCCCAGCAGGAGGTTTGGGCTCAAGCTCGAGAGGCAGTTGGCCCCCAGAAACCTCTGGGAATGCAGGACATCTACGCCCTAACCTCAACAACCCAAATATCCTCATAGTAGTAGCTCCATAGCAACCCGTCATCGTGGCCTCGAGGGGTAACCTTCTAGACTTATAACATGTAACCCTAAACCCACCTGTTCACTAATGGGGCTTCACAGGCTCACTTGTCAGATGCGGGTTAGGGTTGAAGATTTAGGGCGTAGGCTTGAAGGGGAGGAGTTCCCAGCTAGCACCCTGCCCTAAGGCTCCATGTAGCCACATAGTAAATACTTAGGACTTAGTGTACCTACATACGAACCCGTTAAGGCCTAAGCATATACTATATGGCTACATGGAGCCTTAGGGCTAGCCCTAGCACACATGCACCTTCTCGGTTACAGGTTTTGGGGCCCAGAACTTTCCGAAGGAGTGGGCGCAAAGCAAAGGCCATGCTGCACA